TTCACCACTGCATTTCATCTTATTGCGCTTGACCATTATATGAAGTTGTATTGAATTCCAACTACTAGTTTTCAAGTTATGCACATGTCAAAAAATTAACAAAGGGCAATAAATGTAATTAATCCAAATAGAGTTATGGTTCTCGTACACTGCACTTTATCTCACTGCCCTTGACCATTGTATGTAAGTTTCATTGAATTCCAACTATTAATTTTCAAGTTATGCATAGGATAATAAAAAGTAACAAAGGGCAACAACTTTAAATGAGTCAAGAAAGAGTTATGGTTTCTGTGCACTGCGCTTTTTCTCAATATACTGGACCATTGTATAAAAATTGTATTGAATTCCAACTTGTAGCTTTCAAGTTATGCTCTGGACAAGAAAAAGCAATGGAAAAAGTAACAAAGGGGAATAACTCTATAATTATTCTTGACAGAGTTATGGTTCTTAGGCACTCCACTTCCTCTTATTGTTCTTGACCATTGCATGAATTTGTTTTGAATTCTAACCAGTACTTTTGAAGTTATGCTCCGGACAAGGAAAGGTAGCAAAGGGCAATAACTCTGTAATAAGTCAAGATGGAGTTATGGTTCTTGTGCACGGCACTTCCTCTCAACGTGCTTGATCATTGTATGAAGTTATATTGTGTTCAAACCATTAGTCTTCAAGTCATGCTGTGTACAATAGAAAGCAATGGAAAAGTAAAAAAGGGCAATTACTCTGTAATTACTTTAGATAGAGTTATGGTTTTTGAGCACTGTACTTTTCTTAATTGTGCCTGACCATTGTATGAAGTTGTTTTGAATTCCAAACAGTTGTTTTCAAGTTATGCTCCGGACAAGGAAAAGTAACAAAGGGCAATAACTGTAATTAGTAATGTAATTAGTGAAGATGCAGTTATGGTTTTTGTGCACTGCACTTCTTCTCAATGTGCTAGACCATTGTATGAAGTTGCATTGAATTCCAACCATTAGTCTTCAAGTTATGCTCCGGACAAAGAAAATGCAACGGACGGCTGGAAAGACCGACCGACCGACCGACCAACCAACTAACCAACCGGCCGACCACCGAGTCACTCCAAACTTCGTTTCGGGGTACTAGAAGATACTAAACAAAACCCGGAGTGGACACAAGGGCGAGAAGGAGAGGGACATTCAATGTGTGAAATAAAATAAACTAAAACAGGCCCATATGTGAATTTAAAGGATAAGGACCGTAAGGCCGATAAAGGGAAGGGGTAAAAAATTGGAGGGGTGAGAAAATACCTACCGTAAACGATAATTCAACAAGGCAGACATCACAAAACATGTAAACATTCAAAACAAAGAATAATACAGACATGGAAAACACGTTAAGGAACACAGAAAGGTACCGCATTGGAACGGTCAGTAGTAGTTAAACCACTGGAGAGTTTAAATCGGTTTTAGGCGCGCCAAACCTCACTCTTAGTCCCAATATGGTCCTAAATGCCACGAAAGTGTAAAGAAAATTTATCCCCGCCAAGTGAAATTCTAACAATGGTCATGGTTACATTAGACGAAATGAATCAATCACATGGAAATTGTGTAAATATGTAGAAACATGTACAGCCTAATGACCAAAATACTCAATGCCTTAAAGATAGGCAGAGCAACAAGAAAAATACCTTCAAGGGCCCGACGAAACATGTTAGAAGACGAACATTAAAATAATTCAGTCCCAAGGGGCTTTAAAGGGATATTTAGGCAAAATATTGATAAAAATATTAAAATGATCTTATGTACTCAAATCACGCTAAAATGACTTTTCTTGAAGTTTCAGAATGAATTTCTGTTTAAATTCTATATATTTTGGGATTAAAGCGTAAATACATCTATATATATTGAACAAAATTTAGACGCCAATAAAATCCCCAAATAGTTTTAAAACAAGTCAGATGACTTGAACAAACCCTTGAAGTTAGAATAACAGATATTGTGGATATTGTATGATTGAAACAAGTCTAAGTCATTCATTTGATATGTTCTTTAACGTTTCCAGAGTCCACTGTGACAACGCGGGTCAAGTTAGGAAACCATCATTTTTTTCTTGATATGGAGAAAAGTTTTGTTCCTTTGACTGTCTAACATATTTATTTTGAGGGCATTTAACTGAAGTATGAATGAAAAATTCAAAACTAAAAAATTAAAATTTTGCCTGTTTCTCCCTTTAAGAACTGTCCATCATAAAGTCTCCTACTTAGTCCGTCAGATGTTATTAAAAGAGAAAAGCGTAGTGTCCAACTGTAAAAGGGTTGAACACAAAGCATGCGGTATGCCTTAAAATTATTGGGTCATAACCTCATTTAATAAACGATTTGATAATTTTAGTGAAGACGGCAGAAAAATTACTATGACCCATGATCGTACGAAGTTTGTAAACCACATCTCCGTAAAAATCAGACTTGTTTATACCTAGTCGTAAAAAAGTTTTAAATTACAATTAAATTTTAAAACTAAATCAGAACTAAGTAAAATATTAACGCAATTCATGATAGCGATAACCTTGTTTCAGAAGATTGTTAGTAATAAATAAATTGCGTTCAACACGACTTCGTGCCCTAGCAAATCCAATAAATTGAGAAATATATACCCCATACGATGTAGCATGAGTTACAACTCCATCTAAATGTGGATAGTAAACAATATTAAAATCAAAATCAACTCTTTTATCGTAGATTTTAGTTATTCAATTAAAGTTCAAACTTATTTAAATTTGTGATTATTTGTTTAGATACAAACTATCCAAAATGTAACACATTACATGTTGATAAGGACAAATGAAAGTAGTGATATTGTTTTTTAATTAAACTATCAAGTTTAACGTAAAGTTTAAGAAATGTAAATTATTCGATTTATTAGAAGGTTCCTTCGAAGTTTCAATTCGGACACATGGGTAATGCAAGACACTTAAGATATTTGAACTAGTCTATACTACATTTCTGCGTAAAGTTAGTTTGATGGGTTAAACAATTTGCAAATTTGTCAACGCTTAACAGTGAGCTGGTACTTTTGAGTATGTCTATTTAGCTTGCAAATCTTTTGTTTATAGAAATTCGTACATGTAGACTACGTTCCTCTTAATACGCCAACTTGATTTCGCCTTTTGCTTAAAATCGAGTGTTTCGCTCCAACCCTTATCTCTTTGCTCCATTTCTTTCAAACAAAGCGATATGCATATTTGAGGAATTCACCAGACATAGTTTATTTTGCACGAAGGACGATTAGATATTTTTTCTAAATACACTATTTCAAAACTTCTATTCATAAGTCAGGGTGGAAAGTTTTCCAGAGAATAGTTTAATTTTCTTTTCGCAACAGCTTGGATCATTGGAAGCCTTCGATAATCCAGCATAGAACGTCATTAGCTGATTTTCGGAAATATTAAAACCTTAAACAAGAGGGCCATGATGGCCCTAGATCGCTCACCTGACAAATCGAACTCATCAGAGCAATTACGTAAACAAACATCCTGACAATGTTTGATGCCAATTAAGAAAAAAATGTGACCACTAGAGTGTTAACAAGGTTTTTCTTTATTTGGACGGTGTTACCAAGTTTTTGACCCCAGGTGATCCATATTTGAACTTGACCTAGAAATCATCCAAACAAAGTTTCAGACAAATCCAGGATAATTGGATCAGTTGCCACTACAGTATAAATATTATTTTTCCATTTTTAACTGCTATGACCTAGTTTTTCATTCGAAATGACCAATGTTCGAACTCATCCGAGCAATAATCAAGGCAAGCATCCTGATAAATTTTGATTACACTTCAGTCAAAAAAGTGACCACTAGAGTAATAAGAAGGTTTTTCCATATTTTAACGGTATGACCTAGTTTTTGATTCCATGTAACCCATATTAAAACTTGATCTAGAAATGATCAAAACTTACTATCAGACCAATTTCAAGGATATTTCGGTAACAACAGTAGTCACTACAGAGTTAACAAGATTTTTCTAGCTCCTGTGACCTACTTTTTCATCCGAAATGACAAATTTTCAAACTCATCCGCAAGCATCCTGACGAAGTCTGATGATAATTGAGTAAAAAATGTGACCACTAGAGTGTTAACAAGGTTTTTCCATATTTCGGCAGTGTGACCTAGTTTTTGATCTCATGTGACCCATGTTCAATGTTGACTTAGTAATCATTAAAACAAATTAGAAGACCAATTTCAAGGATATTTGGATCAAGTGTTTCATACGAAAATATCCATGTTCGAACAAATCAAAGCAATAACCTAGACAAGCATCCTGACCAAGTTTGATGGCAATTGAGTCAAAATTGTGACCATTAGAGTGTTAACAAGGTTTTTTAATATTTCGTGAACTACTTTTTACCCCAGGTGACCCATATTCAAACTTGACAAACAAAATTGCAGACAAATTTCCAGGATATTTGGTTCAAAACAGTAGCCACTAGAGTGTTAGCAAGTTTTCTTTTTTTAGCTCCTGTGACCTAGTTTTCCATTCGAGATGACCCATGTTCGAACTCATCCGGGAAATAACCTTGACTAACATCCTGACAAAGTTTGATGATTATTGAGTCAAAAATGTGACCGATAGAGTGTTAACAAACAAATGTGGACGTTCGACGGACGAGCTAGCTCAGGTGAGGTTGAATTCTAAATTAAATAGAAAACAAAACATACACAATACTTATAATGAACCGCTTGCCTAACGTTCCATGTCGAAAATGTTGTTCGCTCGTTTTAATTATTCTACAATGTTGAAGTGGAGTTTAAGTTTGTCGGGTGTGGATAGGTACTACTTATTGGTTGCTCTCTTAAATTTGTATTCTTCAGAACGCCAGATACTGTTTACTGTTTTTTATTTTCTCACATCACTTTATATCATAAATATTTGTCTATAAGCAAGCTATTTCATTTAATGATTAAATAAATGTATTCGTTTTCTTTTTTCTTTTTGTATTTTCAGAAGATTAGTTAGTTTACCAAAATGTAAAAGTTTCACCTACCTTGTGGAGACGAATCATTTCAATTCTGCTACGAATATATTCCTAAAAAGAAAACATACATTTGATATTTGAGCTAATTAATGATCATTGTCAAAGTTTCTGAATGCATTGCTTTGCACAAAGAAACCACCTCTTATTTATTTTTTTATCTTCAGAGCTATCGAGTTTTTCCCTAAGTACTTTGATCAATCCACAAGAGGGCCAAGATGGCCCTAGATCGCTCACCTGACCCAACAAACACATCCGAGAAATAAGCTAGACAAGCATTCTGGCCAGGTTTCATGCATGACAGGTGAGTCAAAAATGTGACCACTGGAGTGTTAACAAGCATTTTCCATATTTGAGCAGTGTGACCTAGTTTTTGACCCAAGGTGACCGATATTCTATCTTCTAGAATTCATCAAAACAAACTTTCAGACTATTTTCCAGCATAGCCATAGTGTTAACAAGATTAACATATTTTAGCTACTGTTACATAATTTTTCACCCGAGATGACCAATGTTCGTACTCATCCGAGCAATTACTTAGGCAAGCATCGTGACCAAGTTTGATGACAATTGAGTCAGAAATGTGACCATTACGGTGTAAACAAAGTTTTTTCTTATCTAGGCGGTGTGACCTAGTTTTTGACCTCAGGTTATCCACATTCGAGCATGACCTAGAAATCATCAAAACAAAATCTTTATCCAATTTCCAGGATATTTGGATCAAAACATTAGCCACTAGAGTGTATACAAGTTTTTTGAATTTTTAGCTCCTGACACCTAGTTTTTAATTCGAGATAACCCATGTTCAAACTCATCCGAGCATAACCTAGACAAGCGTCCTGACTTAGTTTGAAGGCAATTGAGTAAAAAATATGACAACTAGATTGTTAACAATGTTTTTTCTATTTTTAGCTTCTGACAGAGTTTTTCATCCGAGTTGAATTATGTTCAAATTCGACCGAGCTATTACCTAGACAAACATCCTGATTAAGTTTGATAATGATTGAGTTTAAAATGTGACTACTAGAGTGTTAACAATGTTTTTTTTTTCTAATTTAAGCTCCTGTGACCTAGTTTTTTATCCGAGATGAGCCATTTTCAACACCTCTAAGCTATTACCTGGACAAGCATCCTGACAAAGTTCAATGATTATTGAGGCAAAAATGTGACCGCTAGAGTGTTAACGAACAAGTGTGGACTGACGACGGACGACGGATATTCAACGATCCTTAGCTCAGGTGAGCTAAAAAAAATCTACATTTCTTTATGACATTTTGATTTAACGGAAATTAAACATTTCGACAAACGTGTGCAAAGCGAGAAATAAAATCAATAAAACGTTGTAAGTTTTCAGTTCAATTTCAAAAACATATTTTATTCTATATAGGTAAACAAGAGCAATCGGTTAGTTTGTGTTTTAAGAGATATATTTATGTTGGAATAAAGTAATATTTTCCTGTTTGAAATAAAACTGTAAGGAGTGTTTGCTTATCATAATTAATTAATTCATTCACTTAATTGCTAATTCATTCACTTAATTGGCTAAATGCATACATTGCACACGGGCTAGGGTCGTCGAGATCGTCATTTTCAGAGCTTACAAGAGTCACTCCCGGAAGGGGGGCAACGCTCGACTTTTGACTTTTTAAAATCAAAAAAATGAACGGTTTAAACATATCTTAAGGAAAAATGTTATGATTCCCTTTTTAAAATTTTTGATAAGTCAGTCCAGTCGCTCTAGTTTTGTGGAAGTATGAATCATTTCCATAAATAAATTACAATGTGAAAAAAATATATTCAAAATTCAATCATTTGATCAATCATCTTATATGTATATACATATATATTTTTCTGTAATATACATGTATATATACATATATTACAGAAGCAAAATAAAATATATATTCAAATTCAGTTTCATAAAAGAGCCAAGGTAAGATTGAGTTTGATATAAATGAAGGTCTTATTCTAAAGAATGTTCTGTTACACATGTAACATGAAGTCAATCCATTAATCCATTCAATATGAACAAAGTTACAGCAAATTACAGCCTAAAATGAAATTTTCAATAATTTTACCTTCAAAGTCAAGTCATTTATGATTGAAGGTCAAGGTATTTCTAATTCACTTAAAGTTCTATCCTAAAAGATTATTATGTTCAACTTTTTGAAGACAATCCATTCAAAAATGACAAAGATATAGCAAATAATGACACAAGCAAAATTTGGATTTTAACATTACAATGGATGAAGGTCAATGTTAGTTTAGTTCACTGAAAGGTTTTTTCCCAATTATTGATGCGGCCAATTATGAAGACAACTTAATACACCAAGATCTAAAAAAGTTATTATCAAGGTACACGTTTGCGGACGGCAACAGCAACGCCGACATGACTGTAAAAATACCCTTACATTTTATTTTAAAAAAATAAGCTAAAATGATTTTGTTGGTGGTGGCTGTAGAAAGAAATATAACGTTGAACTACAAATATATCACCATCAACTAAGTTCATCAATAGTATATACATGAATGCAAATCATATGACGAGAAACACAGAGCAAAATATCGTTATCATGAACTGTCACTATTTCTATATAAGGATATATGTATGAGGTCATAATGATATATGTATATGTATGAGGTCGCACCTGCATAACAAGTAGCAACTTTTACATTTTCGATGATTTAAACGTAAATTATATATAAGATAAACTTATATAAGTTAGTTCTACATGATCAAATAATAATAACACGGGAATATGATTGTAACTGACTTTTAATTGTAATGAATAAGAAAACATACATCTTCTTTTTATGCAAAGATTATAACCAAAATAAATGAAAAGATAAAATTATAGCTTTTTTTTTCAGAATGATGCTGGAGTTAAAATTTATGATTAAATGATATTTTAATTCCTACAAAACATTGAACTGTTACATGTAAAGAAAAAAATATTCAATTTCTTCGAAGACAAAAAAATATAAAAATATAAAAAGTCTAAATTAAACATAGCAATTAAAAACTTGAAGGATGTACCTGTTAGACATGCTTAATATAAAACTAGTTTCTGTTCTGCGTTTCCTGTACGATAATATTGTAAAAAATACAAATACAAAATACAAAAAATTACAAAATATCCCAAAGGTAACACATTATATGTTGACTATGACAAATGAAAGACGTGGTGTATATTAAGTGCGAGAAAGTCCTCATATCTGTTCATTCTAGGAAAACATTATGAAAACTTAATATCATGTATCAGGTGGATTCAACATATTCTAGCTTTTTATTGCCATATATGCTTGAAACAAGGGGATCTAATTATCTGTTATATCCCTGCTCTTTGTCAATGACCAGCTTCATAAACAATCTTTTCACAGACTTAGAAGTAATTTACTTTAATCAAACGTGGACTCTTTTATTTTATTTGAAGGCGACCTTTTGTTTGTAACTTGAACAAATAACTCCAACTCGTCTCATTCAAGAACACTGGGTATGCCATCGTTTAATCATTGTATTTAGCAAATCACAAATGTTTTTTTAAAACTTATTTTTCTATATATTAACTTGATTTTTTAAGTACAATCATATTTGTTGTAATCTTTATTTGAATTCTTCAAACAATATATTGTCAACTGTTATTCAATTTCTTGTCGTACTCATTATATATTTGCTATAAGCAATATATTTTGTTTGATGCTTTATAAAATTCGTATCCTTATACATATTTCTAAAAAAATATTTTGTAAGTTTTTCAATATGATTAAGTTTCACTTACGATTTTGGCGGATAGCTCTTCATTTTTTTTTGTACAACAAGTGATATAACCCTACAAAAGAAAATAAAAAGCATATTATAGAGTAATTGATGATTTATGTCAATAATCTTTTCTACTTTTATTCACACTTAGAAATTGCCTCTTACTTTGTATTCTTTAGAGATAATCATAACTTTTATGAATCCATAAATCTAAATTTTATCAAGAAATTTTGATACAAGAGGAATTAAACATTCCGACAATTTTAGATAAGAATTTTCTTAAAAACTACATGTTAAAGTGCATGACCAGCCATATATTGGCTCGTCAGACAAAGGCGTCAATAGCTCCTGTTATTCATTTGGTAATCAATATATTTCATTTCAGAAACTGCTGTAAATGACATAAAAACATGATGCGCTGATAATTTAAGATAACATTGAAAAAATTATGTATATCGGAATTCAAGATTGAATCTATGTATCTATAGACTTATACTATGACAAAGGCATGTGATTTTAGTTTTTATTATGACAATTTATTAGATAACTTTACGTTATTAGTCCTATAAAAAAAAGCACCTGCCACGTTCAATAACACAATGGCATGCCTTAAAACAGTGACAATATCTATATCACTTTTTTGGCCCCAGGCCGAAAAGTAATATAAATATAAAGCTCTCTTTTGAAGTAATTTGATTGGCTAATTAAGCAGGCCCAAAAAATGATATAGATGTCTGCAAGAAACTGGGAAATGGCAGCCATTTTGTTTAACTTGGTCTATGTGTAGACGCCTACAGCTAGCATAAATGAAACAAAATATTATGTTTCTAAACATTCACGTCATGGTTTAGTGGCGTTTAACTGACAAACATTTACCGACTTGAATCAATGAATTGCAAAGTCGTGTGCGTCTAAGGAAACGGAAACCGGGTAGAAAAATTATATTAAATAAGTACATGTAGATCTAGTTATTTAATAAAATTGTCAATAAATAAGTGATTTGATATTGGCCCTGTTATTTGTCCTCAGGTCAGTCGTATTGGCCTTCGGCCTTGGGCCAATACGACAGCTCTCGGACAAATAACAGAGCCAATATCAAATCACTTATTTATTAACATATAGTATTAATTTAAAAATGCATGCATAAACCCGTAGATTTATAGTGCCTTTTGCAAAGTATAAATTGTTTACTAGACTTTATTTTACTTTTAATTAATTTCAAAACGTTTCATGAAAAAAAAACAACCTGGAAGCAAGCAGCTTTAAACGCAAATGTATATCAACTTATACAAAAAGTCGGGCGCGTTAAAGTGTCCGAAGCTTAAAAATTGTGTAAAATAGCTGACTGGAAAACGAAATGCTTGTATATAATTTATGAGCTATTTTAAATAGCATATTGCAATGTACATTTAGAACACATACGTATCTTATGTCTAGTTGAATTCGTAACTTATTCTTAAAAGCACTAAATACAAAATTCCTTCTTGGATTGATTTTAATGCCTGTCATAGTCAGATTGCTGAATCTATAGAGGATTTTTCTGTCAAATGGTGTCGCCGTGAAAACGCGGATAGTAATGCTCTAGTTTCATGGAAACGTGACATCTTTAAAATTATTGATTCACGTATTAATTTTCATCCTGGAAATTAACATCTTCTGCAAGTTAAACCAAGCCTTACTTTAAGACATCTGAAAAGGGATAATCTAGCATTTCATTCAAAATTTGTTTTGGTGCCAGCGGACAAGGCTGCTAATAATAATATATTATTATAATTGTATGACGAATCCATTACATTAACGTGTCGCATAAGGAATTAAATAGTACTAATGCGTATTCTAAAGGCTTTTCATCCGCAATAGACATTGTGTACAATCATATCACTAATATTTCTAATCTTAAAGTCCAAATTAATGAAAAAGAACTCAAACTACCTATCATGTATTGGATTCCTAAATTACATAAAAAACCTTACAAAGCCAGATTCATTGCTAATTCTACATCTTGCATTACAAATAAACTTTCTATTTTATTGACGTCTTGTTTGACTGCCATTAAAACACATGTAATTAGATATGATAAAGTCTACGAAATCATAGGCAAACATCTCCTTTGGTCTATTAAAAATTTAAGTGAAATCTTGAATAAATTCGAAATTAATTCAAGCTTCCACTGTGAGTACATACGATTTTTCTACACTTTATACAACTTTGGATGGGGCTAAGAGTGAGGTTTGGTGCACCATCAACCGGTTTAAACTCCCCAGCAGTATTTATGCTGCTGACCGTTCCAAGGCGGGCCCCCTCTTTGTTCTTCAGATGTATGTCTTTGTTGTTTCATACTGTTTTGGTGACACTTTTGTGTCCCTTATTGTTTTCTCGTCTAAGATAAGTATCTTCCCCTTTGCCCCTAGTTTTTATTTCCTATATTTACCGCCCCCTTCCCATGGTCTCCTGTCCGCTCCCCTGTGCCCTTTGACTTTATGGGCCTAGTATTCTATCATTTATTTTTTTTCTTTGAGTTCCTTATTAGTTACTTATTATTTCTTCTTATGTATGATTTTAGTGATTAACCTGCCCGTGCTCTGCCTTCTGTCCTGGCCTGTTTTTGTTTGGGGTCCTCATGGGCTCTTGTTGCTGGATCGTGTGGGGGTTGCGTTCATTGAACGCCGCCTTTCCTTGTTGGTCTTGTTTATCATATTTTTTGCCACATAAATTAATTAATGATATACTAATTTCCCTAATTCAGAAAACTTTTGCACGGAAAAAGTTACCTTTCTAGCATGTAATTCTAACAAAGCTTTTTTACTAACGGTATTGTTAAATATTTTCCTATGTGGACATCTGACGTAAGTTTGTAGAGCACTCTCTTTTCTTTTAGACAACATTCATGTCAGGTTTTGTTATACCCTATTTAAACAGATTGTAGGAATTCTTTTTGGTACTAATTGTGCACACCTGGTCGCCGATTTGTTTTTGTACTGCTATGAAAGAGACTATAGTTTGAGTCTCTCTGAAGATAAACAACAATATGTTATTGTCGCATTTAATAATACTTCCAGATACCTTAATGATATATAAGGATGTCAACGAACGGAATAATTTCATTACCAGCAAGCTTCTAAAACAGGGCTTCCGCTATCATAAATTACAGAAATACTTTACAATATTTTACAATCATAATTTTGATTTAATTTCAAAATCCAAAAGTGATTTAAAAACTCTTCTGCGACAAGGGATAAGCCAGTCTGGTTTTTATGGCGATATGATTTACAAACTTCGTAAGATTTTGGGCCATGGTAATTTTTTCTTCTGTTTTTAGTTAAATCATTAAACGTTTTATGAAAAGAGGATAGGACCCTACTATTTAAAGACATACTGTATGCTTAGTGTTCAACCATTTACCGGTTTAAACTCCCAAGCAGTACTTGCGCTGCTGACCGTTCCAAGGCGGCGCCCATCTGTGTTCCTCAGGTGTATGTCTATGTTTTTTATACTGTTTTGGTGACACTTTTGCTTGTGTCCCTTGTTGGGTTGTCGTTTATGGTAAGTTTCTTCCCCTTTGCCCCTAGTCTTATTTCTTTAATTTACCCCCACCTTTCCCGGGTCTCCTGTCCCATTCCCCTGTGTCCTTTGACTTTGTGGGCCTATTATTCAGTCATTTATTTATTTTCTTTGAATTTATTATCAGTTACAGATGAATTCCTTTTATTCAATCATTTATTTGTTTTCTTTGAATTCCTTATCAGTTACAAATTATTTATCATTTTAGTGATTAGCCTGTCCGTGCTCTGCCTTGTGCACTGTCCTGCTTTTATTTGGGTCCCGCTTGGGTTCCTTGCCACTGGTTCTTGTAAGTGGCTCGTGTGGGGGTTGCGTGCATGGAACGCATCCCTTCCTTGTTGATCTTGTTTATCATATTTTGTGTATAGTTATAGTAACAGCTTGATTTAAACCATGAAAGGAAACCACATGAAATATAGCATTAACTTTATACAATATTATTGTAATATCACAATAATAATACTTACATAATCGATATTGAAAAGAAATTGTTATATATGAGCCCCAAATTTCAACGACAAAAATATCTTATACAGGAATTCTTATACAGGATTCATTATCATTTATTTTGTTCTAGCAACCGAACAAATATCTTATACAGGAATTCTTTCGCAGGATTTTTTATCCTAATTTTCTTGTTCGGCTGACCGAACAAATATCTTACACATTAATTCTTTACCAAGATTTCTATGATTTGTTTTTGTTTGCTTAAAAGAAAAAAATGTAAATTTTTCCACAAAATGTCTTATACACGAATTTCTGAACAGGATTTTTTTAACGTTGACCAAACAAAATTTACAAAAAAAAAAAAAATTCATTTGATCAGGGACCAGCAACATTTTCGTCATAGATTGGATGTAACATGACTTCACTACCGCATGAAATGTGAGTTTGTATAGAAGTTATGTACAGGAATTCTTGTACAGAATTATCATTGTTGAATTTGTGCGTTCGGTTGAGCTTTTTTATTTTAAAAAAGTGTAAATTTCCAAATTTTTCGTTCTTGTTTAATTTAACTGCACACACAGATTAACATTTACAGAGAAAATCACGCGAGCACCACCGTTGTAGCACAATTTTAATATGCGTGAGCATATTAAAATTGTGCTACAACGGTGGTGCTCGCGTGATTTTCTCTGTAAATGTTAATCTGTGTGTGCAGTTAAATTAAACAAGAACGTATCACAGTTACACAATAAAAAGATATAAATAGGATTTTTCTCGGAGATTTCTCCCATTTCGTTAATAGGTTAGTTCCGCCAATGGGAAAAATGCAAAGGGCTCATTACGTTTTGGGTCGATTTTGGCCTATCGGCAAAAAATATTCAAAATTTGGTGTATCAAAATTAATTTATATTTATAACAAATGAAGCAAGATTGAGTCAGATATCTGTTTGGATAAAAAAGTTATAATAAATCAAAACAACTTATCAAGAAAACAAAACACTACAGTTTGACGTCATTAACGTCACGTATTATTTTGAGCGCATCGCTTCGAGTAATTAGAAA